AAATTAATATAAGACACTGTCTTATTTTCCGGGAAACAGGGTAGTTATGAAACATACAGTCCAATATTTAAACAAGTTAGTTCAGCTCCCCAGGGTCTGACCGCCCCATTGATACCCAGAATAGCTCATAAACTGATGCTGTTCATTGCAACACACATCGGCAATACCTGGAGCATACAGTGATACACAGGTATGGGTGTGTATGAGGAAAATGATTAAATGGAGACAAAGAGAATGACTTCCACCAACAAAGACACACCCGGTACTGACCATGTTTTTGTGATCAGGAACAGATGTAGGAATGAAACACCGTGATTAAAAACAAATGAGGAAAATAGGTTTTAGCAAGCTGTCTCCCTCAGTGTGCCCATGCTCACACGTACATACGTGATGTGAAACCCCTAGGAAAAATACCCTTTACAATCAGGATCTAGGCAAACATCTGTTATCACAAGATCATTAATGTTGTTTTAGTGTTCCTTCCAGTGTAATGAGATTGTAATAAAAGAGACTATCGTTTTGGTTAAGAAGGCAAAGTTGTCATTATTTACAGATGATATGGATATGTTCTTGGAAAACACCCAAGAAGTGGTGTCTATATAAATTCCTTTAAATAGTAGAATGAAATCGTAATATTTAAAATACAAGGTCTTCCATGTATGTCAGCAATGACCATGTAAATTTGGAATGGGGAACCCTGGCCGGTGTGGCTCATGTGGTTGGGCATCATCCCTGCAGTGAACGTTTGCCATTCAGTTCCCAGGCAGGGCATGCGCCAGGGTTGCAGGCTCAACCCCGGGTAGCATACAGGAGGCAGCTGACTGCATTGATGCACATCTCCCTCTCCCTCTCCCTCTTTCTCTATAAATCAATAAAAATATTTGTAACTTTAGAATGGGGAATGGCATTCACAGAAACAATATCAACCACCCAAAAATAGACTTTACCATAGGGTCCTAAAAATAGGGGTAGGACATTGTAGTAGAAAATGATAAATGTGTACTCAGCTTTGAGCGATGATTTGAATACATCTGAAGGACCTGTAGCTGAGGCGGGAGACAGGAAGGATGTCCAGGCTGAGGAGTGGTCCCACCAGGCCCCAGCCACATCACAAGATTACTTTGCAATACCAGGTCCCATATGTTGTCTCACCAGAGGGGCTTTTTTCTACTTTTTTTCTGTTACTTTCCCGTCAGATTATGCCCCTGCAATATGCCCCTGCCTGGGGGAACGCCTATTGGAAGGGAGAGGAACAGCAGCAGCATTATAATATGGAAAGAAGCGGGCTGGATTCCTACTGGCAAAGGCATGCAGAGCATGTTACTGGGTAAAGAGCCACAGCTTACAGGTTTAGCACAAGGCCCAGGAAAATTTGAAGTTAGTTTTTTGTCCTCAGAATTTCATACACCAAGTCTACCACCCGCCCATTAGAATGTCAGGGAAGATGGCTGTGACTTTTTCCAAAGAGGGGCTAACATCATTTCTGAGAGACTACCTTCCACCACTCCTGCGGGCTTGTCCAGCTTAGTGTTTCTCCAGTGACACTCAAGGCCATTAGAGGAACCGCTGTAATAGTAACATGTTACAGTAAGAACTGTGATTTGAGCCTGCGTCCCCTCCCACATCGTCCTTGGCCTGGGAGCTGGAACTCCCTTTGTCCCTGGGACAAAGGCAATTGTGAAGCTAGCTGAGAATTAACAGTGCTTGCCCTCCTCACTCCTCAAACAGGATGACAAAAATATGAAGAAGCTGGGCCTAGGTGGGTGACCAGAGGCCCATGGCCGAGCATGCCCTTCACCCAGCTGGCTGAACCAAAGGCCAGAATGTGAGGGAGGCCATCCTAGAGCCTGAGCCGTCCCCAGCAGAGCCAGTTAGCGGACAGGGCTCTGACCACAGGAGCATGAGGAGGCTCCTGAGAGAGAACTGCAGAAGGAGCACTCCGCTGAGCACAGCTACCATTGCTGAGCCGCAGAAATGTGAGGGCTAGCATCAGCTGTTGTTTCAAGTCGCTAAATGGGGGAGGGGGATGTTTGTTATGCATCCAAAGCTAGCTGATACAGCTGTTCACTGCCACCCACCTAGATCCAGCAGGAATAATGAGAGGGAACATCTTTAGAGTAGAAAGGTCACCTCTGCTCGAAGAGGTTGACATGGGACTCTCCCTGGAGTCCGAAGGAGAGGGATGAGGCTGACAGGAAATAGTTGTATGAATAGTCTATGTGCCGGCCCCGTGTTGAGCACTGTGTCCTTTCTAACTGACAGGCAATGGAATCTTAAGGAGGCCGTTTTATTTGCATCTCGTGGAAGAGATGCTTAGAGTTTGCAGTTCCGTGCGTCTTCATGGCTCTCCAGCTGTGCAGTCACAGTATCGCCAGTCTTGTCAAAAGGAGTATTTCCATCGGGAGCTATGTTTTGTGTGACATTCTTTGATGACAGTCAGAGTTGAGTACTTGGGTAAGGTGTTCATTTGTTCAGAGCCACTGAGTTCAAAGAAAGTTACTTTCCCATGTGGACGTTCTTCTCTTGCACAATATAGTGGAAGGAACGCCTGAATGCCTCTCTCTCTCTCAGCAATTATGTGTGTCATCTTGAGATGTTACTTAACAGCTCCAGGTTCAGTTCCCTGTGAGCAGGAAGTGGAAAGAGTGATACAAAAAAGAAGATGCTCCATTTTGCCCTGACTCGCAGCACTGATCGTAATTTATTGACGGTCTGCATCATTTTATGCACTAAATATGTCTTTACCCACAAACGTGGATAATGAGTATCAGGACCCCCCTGAAGCAGATTAAGAATCAGGCTGAGATGGTTAAGTCAGTAAGGCAGTAAGTGATGGAGCTGAGATGGTCACCGTGGTTTGCCTGACCCCAAAGCCATCCTCTCGCATCCACTGGGACATATGTCCCACCTGTTCGGAGCCGCTGAGGTGCACCTGCATGTCATGGCTTTGGTACAGCTCCTGCTCTCCCATTGTTCCTCCCAGGACATCGGGCTCCCAGGAGGGCATCGCTCCATGCCCTGGTCTAAAGGTAAGAGGATCTGCCCCGAGACCAACAAGGTTGGGATGCGTATTTCTGCATTTCTTTCTGAGGGGGAAGGAGCAGGCAGATCGGACAGTGTGTGTCACTGGAAGCATCGCCGTGGGAATGGACAGAGAGAGAGGGCGTGACAGAGGCACGTGGATCAGAGAGGACATTGTCATTGCAGCTCCTCCTTGTTCCTGAGCGATGGAAAGGGAAAGAAGAGGGACTGTGGGGAGCTCTGTGCTATCATTTCATGTGGGGAGGTGGGCAGGGAAGTCTTTCAAACCCCCTCCACATTCCCCAGACTCTTTGTTCTTTCTGTGCAGTGTTCCTCCTGAGCCACACAAGTGCCTTCGTACTGGGTCATACTGGGTAACCCAGGAGACACTTGTCAAAGACAGCAAATGGAACACAATATACCTCCCAGTTTTCTCCTGGATTAATCGATGAATCTCAGGGTGAATACCGGATATCTAATGTTGTGATTATATGAGTAAGTAGTGGCCCAGTTCATGAAATTTGTGCACATTAAAAGAGGTCTAATTAGAGGAAATATTTTAATATTACTATTTGCCCTTTCTCTAAAATAGAAGTGTCAGAGATGAAAGGAAATTAATTAATGCATATAAAATCTTCCTCCTGTCAGGGTCTGGGTCACACCATGTGATCCAGAGTCAAGTCCTCACCCACCGGAGGCGCCTCAAAGTTGCAGGAGAACCAGACCAAGCCAGCCCCACCCCCACTGGGCGAGATCCAGACACAGTGGGCCCCACCCCCGGCAGGCCCCTTGGGGGCGCAGCCTCAGGCCCCCAGTCCAGCCCCGCTGGGTCGGGGGCACAGCCTCAGGCCCTCTGGCCCTGTGCTGGGCGGGGGTCATGGCCTGAGGTCCATAGGCCTGGCATCCAGGGCGGGCGGAGTGGCCTGCAGTCCCCCAGCCTGGCACTGGGGCAGGGGGCACGCCTTGAGGTCCCCCATCAAGCCCCACTGGGCCGGGGGCATGGCCTGAGGTTTCCCTGGCTTGCACCAGGGTAGGGGGTACAGCCTGAGTTCCCCTCGACCGGTGCTGGGGTGGGGGGTCAGGGGCGAGCAGCCTGAGGTCCCGCAGCCTGGGCTGGGCCGGGGTGGGGGTGCGCCTTGAGGTCCCCTATCAAGCCCCGCTGGGTAGGGACACAGCCTGAGATCCCTTGTCAAGTCCCACTGTGCGGGAGGGGGGGTGCCCTAAAGGCCCCTGTCAAGCCCCACCGGGCTGGGGGGGTGCGGAGGCTCAGGCCCCTACCCCAGCCCAGTGCCTCACAGCCTCAGGTCCCTGCGGATGGCCCAGTAAGGCTCCTTATGGGACTCTGCCTCCGCTCTGGGCACAGCCATCTTGTGTTGTGGAAACCTCGCCTCTGCTGTGGGCACAGACATCTTTTTTTTGGTGTGATGCCAATTTGCATATTCCCTCTTCATTAGACAGGATGGCACCGGAGCCATTCCATGGTGTGGACACAAAGATGGAGGGGTGTCTGGTCCGGGGAGGGAGGATGTGTAGCCCTCTCTCTCAGAGGCAGCAGGCGCTGATTCCTCGTTCGCTCCCTCAGGGCCCTGACTGCGGGGGCCTCTTTTCCCTGACGCCGTGCCCTCGGGATTTCTAATTCAGCACCGAAACCCTGCCTGGTGCTGCTCGGGTCCTCATCAGGGTGAAGGGAAACCCTCACACAGCTCCTCAGCCTGGGCCCTGCTTCCTCTTTGCCTTTGTGGGCACGCTTGTCCCCTCACCACTCACCCCCACTCACCCGGCCCTGCAGTCCGGCTCTTGTCAGCCTGGCTGCCTCCTCAGCACCTTTGCTCCAGCTCATCCCTCTGTGGAAGGCTCCTCACTCCATTGGCCTGACTAATGTGCCCCCGCCATGAAGGCCTGGTCAGCCTTCCCCTGCTCTCAGAGGCTGCCCAGCCACCATATTTTATATTGCTCAGTGCGGGCATCCTCCACCTCCCCCCACCCCCATGTTCCCCATCCCCTTTACCTTGGCCTACATTGTCCGTTTGGCATGCCACTCGCCAGCGAGCTGACTGTGTTCTTTCCTCCTCTGTTCCGGCATTGCTTATCTCCCGCCTCCCCCGGAGCCCCGGCTTGAAGAGAAGCGCCCTGATCTTAGCCATCATTGTCCCTTGTCCGCTGCTATCTCCACAGCCCGGAACGTTGCTGAGCACACACGGAGGCGGCCCGACAGTATCTGTGGATGTGAGGAAGCGTCCGTCTCCCCCGCTGCATTGCGACAGCCTTGAGGACAGGTCAAGGCCCTTGTTCCTTGTCTCTGTCAACCCTCTTCCAGGACACTTTCTGATGCGCCTGGACAGGCCCCGCAGAGTGTTTGTGGGACGGTGAGTGACAGTAAGAGAGAAAACGGCCCTGCTTCCACACCAGTGTTTTCTCTGTCAGCACCAGGCGTGTGCCCGCTGCCCTGCACACTCTGCTGGTCAGCTGGGAGGCTTTTTTAAATGCTCACCTGAGGATATGTTTTTATTGATTTTAGAGAGAGGAGATGAGAGAGAGAGAGAAACATGTACGTGAGAGAGAACCATGGATCAGTTGCCTCCTGTCTGCGTTCTGATCAGGGATCACACCTGCCACCCGGGTATGTGCCCTGGCAGGGAGTTGAAGCTGCCGCCTTTCCGTGCACAGGACGCAGCTCCAGCCCAACGAGGACACCGGCCAGGGCAGCTGGGACATATTTCAGAGCCGGAATGTGAACCGCTGGCTGCAGATCCCTCCTCAGGACCTTGGCTCCAGCCAGTCCATCTGCCTGGAATGCTGTTCCCTCACCTCTCCCTCCACCTCAGAGGGCCTGTTCTGGCCTCCGGGATTGGGGCGAGCTCTTTGAGGGTGCAGGTCCCAGTGTGGTTGTAGAGCGATCCTGGAGTCAGCACTGCTCTTCCTACGCACGTGGCTTAGAGTGAGACATTCATCACTATTTTAATCTGTGCAGGACATGTGCCACTCTGGTGTTCACATCTGCTATGTATTGTATGTTGTGTACATGGCAGCATCACTGAGAATAAACTGCATTTATATACTTAAACACAATGAAAGCCAAACAATGGAGTGAAGTACTTGAAATAAAGGTTGATATTAATGTTAAGTAATAGTCCACGTAATGATGGGCACCTGCTCTGGGCACTTCATCATCTTCTTTCATTTAATCCTAATAAAAACCCTCACAGGAAAGAGTTCCCTTTTTATGAGGGAGAACGTTGGGATCCATGACATTATCTAAGCTTCCCAGGATCTGACAGCTGGTGGGCAGCCACCTGAGGTGGGAACTCTGGGCTCCTGGATGCCAGCACTCTGCCAGGACTGAGTGTGGCCACAGCCGATCGCTTGCCCCCAGCAGCCCTGTCTTACCATCCCTTTCTTTTCTCACAGACACAGCCGTCCGACATTGCCATCCCACCTCCCGGCGTTCTAGAAGCTCTTCATCCCAGCGATCTCCCAGCCCCTCTGGACAAAGGTTGGTGTACTGCCCTGATGTCCGTGCCATTGGAAGGTGGCTCCCCAGAGTCCTTGTGGACGCCTGCAGTCATTGCTGCTTCTGTCTCCTGGGCGCCTCGCCATGAGTGTGCATCTGAGGAGGGTCCTTGGCTGCAGAGCTGGTTTCTCGTTCTTGGCAGCGTGCCCTTCCTTCCCGGAGAGAGGAACGCAGCCCAGGGGGACATAGCTTACTTATCAGGACACGGTGCCCCCACAGGCCCAGGCACCATGGGACCTGCTCCCTCAGGGGCAGAACAGGTTTCCCAGGGTCACCAGCTGTCACACACATTCCACAGCCCCTCAGGGAGAGACAGCCAGGCACGTACTGGGGACGTTTGCTCTGAGAAGTGGGGGCAGGCAGTATTCTTGCCTTGTTGCTTGGGGCGAGCGTTCTAATGGTGCAGCTACTTACAAAGGAATCCTGTCTGTGTGGTTTTGTCTGATTCTTGAGCTGCAACATCAGAAGAGACGAGGATAAACATCTATGAGAGCCGACTGTGTTTTAGGGATTGACATATAATTTCCCCAAAATTCCTATGGCATACGTGCCCCTGTTCCAGGTTCCCAGGGGGAAACGAAGGCTCAGGGGGCAGGTAGCTTGGTCCTGGCCACACAGCCAGGAGGTCGCACAGATGGGACTCAGAAGAACTACTGTCACAATGATTTCATGTATTGGTCAACATACCCCACATTAAAAAATAGGAAAGATCATGCTTTTGACAATACCAATGCAAATATAAAAATTCCATTCCTTTACTATATCAGTATTCTATTTTTACAGCTTTAGTCACAATTCTTTCCCTGACATAAAGTACTCAGCTGATAATGACATTAGAGTTGGGGTGGCATGTACAGATAGGCAGGTGCATGGCTGAGTCCTGGGAGGAGCTGCTGTAAGCCACGGTGTGTGCTGAAAGCTGTGTGCTGTGGAAGCACGTGGACACATGGACCAGAGTGCTACCCTCCAGCACCTCGCGTCTAGAAGGGTTTCCATGGCCCCCGACACGGAGCAGCCACACAGGCAGTGCCTCCAGGAACACAGGCACTGTCCTGCCGCCAGGCTGGTTTGCTGTCCACGATTCCATATGACATACATGAACCCCACACACCTTCAGCAACAGCTCTGTGTGTTCTGCAGGGAACTTCACACAGGACGTGCAGACAGCACGCACAACATATTCTAGTCTCTAAGTGTCTCCGAGGGAAGCTAACACAAGACTGGACTGTAATTATGAATTACAAGTCTCCGCAGGGCACACTTGCCTGCAAGAGCGGGAACGAGGAGACACAGAAGTGGAGGGGAGAGAAGAGAGGCAACAGGGGCAGGGGCAGATCAGGGGAACCTTGTGTCTCCGAACATGCGTGGCTGTCCCTGGAAATTCCCTTGTTTGCGGCTCACAGACTTGATCTCATATTCCTGAGTAGTTATGATTTTCACCAAAACAGTTAATGGTGAAAATCATAGCTACAGAATTTCTGGTCTTGTATTCATCAGTTTTTAAATGATTTTTTTGGCACCATCACTGTATTTGCAAAGACCAGTGGAATTTCCACAGTTCTCCCAGGAGGAGAACAGTGCAGACAATGGAGAGATCGTTGAAAAGGCCTACACGGATCCTGAAGCCAGGAAGTCAGCCGTGCCTGGGCACTGGGAGCTGCTGAGTATAGCGGGCTGGGTGTAGCAAGAAATTCTCCCTGTCCAGGCACCGTAGCAGGCTCCAGGGTTAGAGGGTCCTTCAAGGTGACCCAGCTGTCTGCGTGCTGAAATTCAGCAGGTGGATCTTAACCCCAGTGGTATGTAAAGATTTCTCAAATTTGTGTATCAAGGGGGTGTCTTATTTTCTCCCTTTCTCTCTCCCTCCGACCCCCCCTCGAACCCCCCTCCAACAAACTCAGCTAGGATATAGGGTATAGGAGCCAGTCTGTCTGACTCTAAAGCCTCAAAGAATGTCTGTGCCATCAGCCCCTTTGCAGAATGATTTATTTCCATGTAACTCAGAGCCACTACCTGCAATCCCCTGACTGCTTGCCCGCTGCTCTCCACAGAGAACCTTGGAACGGAAGTCTCTCATCTAAAGGTCAGGGACAGCATGGGCAGCCCCAGCGTCCAGCCTGCGCACTGACTGAGCCGCCCCGCCTTCCCAGGAAATGGCCTGCTGCTGCTGTCCCACTTCCAGCCTTGGTCCTGCCCCGCTATGGCAGGTAGTCTTCCCTGCCCGCCATCCAGAGCTCTCTGCAAGGAGCCTCCCACAGTTCCTATTGTAACTGGCACCTCAGAGCCACATGTGGTTGTGCTGGGCCTGCAATGACCCCCCTCCTGTCCAGCAGGTTGTTGAACCACAGAGAATTGCCTTCCCACCACAGATCCAATACACCGATCGCGGAAAGGTCAGCTTTCTGTTGCTGCATAGCCAATGGCCACCCATTTGGCGGCTGAAACCACGCATTTCCTCTTTCACAGCCTCCGGGGGCCAGAGGTGGGGCGTGGATCCTGGGAGTTCTCTGTAGTGTCTCCTGAGGCTGAAATCCAGGCGTCAGTGTGGTGGGGTCTTACCTGGGGGCTCTGGGGAAGCTGTCTCCCCGCTCATTGAGGTGGTCAGCAGGTGCAGCTCCTGTGGTGGCAGGACAGACCCCACGTCCTTGTGGGTGTGGGGGCGTGGGGAGCTGCCCTCAGATTCCAGAGGCGGCCTGTGTTCCTGTGATGTGGTTCCTCCATTTGCACGGAAGCAGAGATCTCCTGTGCTCCCGACCTCCCTGCTTCTCCTGCTGCTGCTGCTGCTGCTGCTGCTGCTGCTGGACAGAGCGGACTGTCTGCTGTTAAATGGCCGCTTGTTAGGTTAGGCTCTTGGGGATAATCCAGGATAATCTCCCCGTTTAAGGCCTACAGTCTAGCAACCTTAATCACACCTACAGAATCCCTTTAGCCACGTAAGCTAACACACACATGCAGGTGACAGCTCATCCTGTCCAGTCCTGGGATTGTGCTGGGAAATATCCGGAGCCAGTGTTAGAATTCCACCTGCCACAGCCTTTGATAGCTGCCAGTTAATTATTTATGAAAACCCGGTGTTGTGACCCTGGTTGTCTGTCCTCCTGTGAACACACTGCCCCCTCTCTATTGACGCACATCCTGTCATCATAGAGTTTTACTTCAACAGGCTTGTTCCTTCTCAAGTGTATTAGTCCAGGTTCCCTCCCTCCCTCCCTGCTGTCTCTTAGGGCCATTTATCCTCCCCGTGGAAGCAAAGAAGCCTCCTGTAGAGCGTGGTGTGCACTCACTGTCCTCAGTTCCTCTCCTCACATGCTCTCTGATTCATACTTCAATCAAGCTTGTGCAGCTTCTATTGATTTGAAGCTGTTCTGCTCAAGGTAGCAATGACAATATTTCTACGTCAGATGCCTCTCTCACAACCCTCTCCCTAATGGCCCAATCATAATTTTTGCACAGAGCTGATCACTCCCTGCACCTAGAAGTACCTCTCTTGTGTATTACTCGGGGTCCTTTAGAGAAACAAAATTGATGGGATATATACACAGGAAGGGAGTTATTCTAGGAAGTGGCTCGTGCAGTTGTGGAGACTGAGAAGTCCCCGGAGCTGGTGATGTCTCCAAGCTGGAGTCCCAGGAAAGCCCGTGGTGTAAGCTCAAGTTCCAGAGAACCAGAGAAACCAATGATGTAGTTTCCATTTGGAGTCCGAATACCAGAGAATTGTAATGCAGAAGGCAGAATATCCATGCCTCAGCTCAGTACTTTATACAGGAAGGGCTACATTCTTCCACCTTTTCATTCTATTCAGACTCTCAAGGGATTGGTTGTTGACCACCCACCCTGGGGAGGGCAAACTGCTTCAGTGAGTCCATGGATTCCAATGTTAATTTCACCAAAGACACACCTTGAAATAAGGTTTAGGCTAACGTTTGGCAACCCCATGGTCCAGTCAAGTTGCCAGGCCATATACACGCCTGAGCTCCAGGACAAAACTTTTCTGGTTGTTCTCTGACCTTATCTCAATTTCTCAGTGTTTGCGGTAGGTTCACCTTTCCTTGTGACCTCTTGGAATCGTTGTGCCTTAGAACTCAATCCTTGGTCCTCTTTTCTACCTACACTCTTCCTCCTGGTAAGCTCATCCAATATTGTGGCCTTATATGCCATCTCTACCCTCTTCTCTCTCCAGATTAGTTTTGCAGTATAAATGCCAGAGTCTGTTGTAAGTCCACATGGATGTCTAATTGATATTTCAATTTTAACTATGAAAAGAAATTTCCTCATTTCATCCCCCTCACTTCATCCATTTATTTCTTCCTCATCTTAGTTAACATTGACATTGATATTGACATTACCATTAACATTATGCTTGTAAGTGCTCACTTAAAAACACTAGGGTCAATCTTTGCATGAATCCATCCAGAAATCCTGCTCTGTCCACATTCTAAATGTTTTGAGAATGTGAACAATTTTGCCATCTCTCCTGCTACCACTTGACTCTAATCCACTATAATTTCTTACCTGGATTGTTGCAATAACATCCTTACTGATTTACCTTCCTGTAACTTTATCTTAATGTTTAGCCTCATCACAGCAAGCAGGGGTGTACTTTGAAAGCCTAAGCCAAATGATGCCTCCTCTGAAATTGCTCTTCATCTCTTCAAATAACATCATTTTATTCAACATTGTTTTGTTAAAGTGTTGATGAGATGTCATAGGAACTTATATATTGTTTAAACCAATGGTAAACAGACTGTGGTAAGATTGGTTTCATAATAGGTCATTTCATTTAAAGTCACAGAAACAATTGGTGACATTAAGTGAGGGCTTACTGTAGATTAAAAGGTTGGATAGTAAATGTTAAGTATTAGGATTAAAGCACAAGTCTGTATAATTTCAAAGACCTTGCTCTTATGTCTAAGTTTATGGTTTCTAGAGTGGCACTCAGGCAATTGGTAACAACCAAGATGACTTTAGAGCTACACAAAGTTGAG